AAGACATGCTGCAAAGTTCCGGTTCTTGTGTACAATTTAAGTTCTTATTCCTGTAGCTGGGGTTCTTTATGAGCTGCCTCAGTTTCAGGCAGGGCCCAGAGTTTGTTCACATGACTGTATTAGGAGTTAGTATTTCTCTGCCAGTGATAGGGAAGAAAGAGGCCACATAAAATTACAGCTAGTACGTTAGTGCTAGTCTGTAGTAGCTAAAGACCTAGATTGTTACTTTATTTTTAAAGTTTTAATCAAGGTAATATATACTTTAAAGACAAATATTACTACAGGGCTTATAACCCAAATCTGCAATATCCTGTCCCTTGTCTCCCACACATAGGCTTCATACCCAATCTGGAAACACACATTCTTTGGTTCTGGGAAATAGTTTTATATTATTTCTTTGATAAAGTCTTTCCTACCATTTTTTTCTTCTGTTCTTTCTAGAACTCCTGCTAGTCAGATTTGGACCACTCAGCAAAGTCCTTTAATTTACTTTTCTTTGGCCATCTCTTTGTCCTTTGTTCTTCTTCCTCAGAGGTGTCCACAAATTTATCTTCCAGATCTTTTATTAAAACTTCCACTTTTACTAGTAGATATTTAATTTCTACCTGTTTTTTCTCTGTATATTTCTTTCTTAAAATATCCCGTTATTGAGTCATAGGTATAATATCTTTTTTAATCTTTGTGAGGATATTATAAATTTTTGTGGTTTTCTCATATTTTCTGCATTGCTATTGTTTCCTCATAGTTCCTTACCTCCCTCCTAAAAAATATATATATATATAGTTTGGCTTTCTGTCTTGATCTGCAAGGGACCATTGCTTGTGGCTATCCTGCTACTCATTCTGTCTCCTTCTCCTGACCCTATAGGGAGGATGACTGGGACAGTCAGAAAGAATGGTAGATCATCTAAGGAACAAGAGAGTCTCTTGTACTCCAATTGATTTTAACTTACCTGACTCAATAGCACTTTTGGAAGAAAGACCCAAAGTTTCCTTTGGATTAATGAAAAGATTTGAAGTTACATGGTTGGTCTACTGAAACTTGAAGCAGGTGATTTTGAGTATACTAGGTACTCAGACATAATTCCATAAAGGACAAAAGGGCTAATCATTATGTCATCCAGCTTTGGCATTTAAAAAACCATTAGAAAATGGTTGTGTGAGGTGGGGTGTGTGTGTGGGAGGGGGTGTGACTAGAAGAACTTTATCTTTAATGATTTTTTTATTAAAAAAAAGATAAGCAAATTACATTGGTGGTTGTCATTATGAATGGTAGAAATATTGTGATGTTTATTATTCTTTCTAGTTTTTTATATCTTAAAATAAATTGTGAAAAGAAAATAGTTCTAGAAAAGGAATGGGGCATTGTATTAAACATCTCACTTATTCCTTCATAACAGCAAATACTTTTAGTTTAACTGAATTTGTTTGTTTGGTAGCTACAAATAGCTCTTCAGATATACGAACATTTTTATTCTAGCTATATTCATGGACAGTGTAGTTAACTTTTACCAATGTTGTTGATTTCTAGGCTTAGCCATTGCTGTAGGTCTAATTTATATGACCTGTATACTCCAAAACTGAGTAAGTCAGATGTGTTGTAATTTCCTTCAGTCAATAGGTGCATCTAATCTACAAAGTAGGTGCTAGGCCCTTTCAGTTTATAAGGGATAGGGGTACTCAGATTGCGTCAGTTGATGGGGGTTTATTGTGAGGCTGTGTGAAGGAGTGAGTGATACAGGAAGCCATCTCTGCAGCTACATCTCTGCCGCGGAAATACAGACATTATTCGGGGACAACTGGGCCTCTGATAGACAACAGCTCTGGTAACTCACAGCAGCTCTAGAGGGGGTGATTTCTTAAGCCGTTTTGTTTTTTTGTTTTTTTTAAAGGTTCTACCTTTTTAAAGTCTACCATTGTGGTGACTCTACTTCTGTTGCTTCTCCTGCCATTACCAATTCACTTTGTGGGTTTTAATTTCAGACTGCTGAAGAGGGATGAGCTGATTGGGTTTGCCAGTTACCATTTAGTACTGGCTCCTATTGGGCTGACCTCTTGAACCAAGCCACTGGACAGCCTGTAGATACCTGCTTTGGTTCAACTTCCCATCTCAGGTCCAGTCAGTTGAAGCCATGGTATTTGGCTCACGTGGGACCCAGCATGGTAATCCTATTGGTGATGAAATCCTGAAAGGAGATGGTGGGTTTGGTAGGTACACTGAGGTTCTTCAAAGGGAAGATGGGAGGCCCATAGTCTAAGTACAAGCTAAAAAAGGCTGGAACTAGGATAGTAACAACATTCATGAAAGAGGAAATGGATGCAAGTTCCTGTCTCTTCTCTTTAATATATTGAGTACCTTGAATCTTCAGAATTTAAGCCAATGAACTTTGTAAATTATCCTATTTAGGCCAATAAGTCCTACTAAGAATTTTTTTTTTTTTTTTAAATCAGAGAGGCAGTGTGGTTTAGGAAGAGTAAGAAAGAGTAAACTAATCCTATTAAATGTGGTCTAACAGAAAGAGCCAAAAGACTGGGTTTCAGTCCCAGACATGCTTCTAAAAGCCTTATGTCCTTGTGTGAGTCTACAACCTTTTTGATCCCTGGTTTCTTTGGCACTAAAATGAACAAGCTAGATTAAATTAAAAAAACAAAAAGAAATATTTTATTTTTTGGATACATTTCATAAGTATCTCTAGTAATTTTTAAGATTAAGTTGATTGGATTCAGATTTTATATATATATATAATTATGTATTATATATTATGTATTATACAGAAATAATATTTCATTTTATATATATTATATATTTAATTTATCAGGTTATATATATTTTTCAAATGGACAAAACTGGGAAACAAAAGCAATAACTATTTTTAAAGACAGCTAAAACAATGATTTTTTTTCTCAGTACATATGAACAAGAGCAATGATAGAATCAGTTAATAACTGTGTTATAAGTTTATTTGTAGAGCTCATATCTACTTGGAGTAACTTACCATTATCACTAAAATGAATAAGTTGAATATTTCCCTTTTCTTGCAAAATGTAAAATATGTAGGTAGAGATAGTTGCCATTGAGCCCTCTCCAACTCATGGTGACCCCATGTACAACAGAGCAAAATGTTGCCCGGTCCTGTATCATCCTCATGATCACTGGCATATTCGAGTCCATAGTTGTGCCTGTTGTGCCAATCCATCTCACTGAGGGCCTCCCTCAACCTTGCTGGCCCTCTACTTCACCAAACACAATGTCTGCCTTCAGCAATTGATCCCTCCTGATGATGTGTCCAGAGCAAGTGAGTTGGACAGTGTTCTGTTGTGATACATAAGGTTTCCATTGGCTAATTTTTAGAAGTGGATTGCCAGGCCTTTCTTCCTAGTTTGTCAGCTCCACTGAAACCTGCCCACCATGGATGATCCTGCTGGTATTTGAAATACTGGGGCATAGCTTCCAGCATCACAGCAACATGCAAGCCACCACAGTGCAACAAACTACAGATGGATGGTGGAAAATACATGGAATCTAGCAATATTAGACTTGAAAGGAACAGTCTATAGTTCAGTTTCTGGCAGTATGTCAAAGTAGGTATCCTTCCACTTCAAAAACAATTAAAAATATTGGGTAGATGTATACTTAAAAGTTTTTGTTTTAAATGCATAGCTGACCTGGCAAGAAATTAATAGAAATTCTCAGAGGCCAAATTTGGGAGCACAAATCCAGAGAGATGTGTGAGAGTCAGAGCCATACCTGGTGGCTGTTCTAAGGGTATTTGCCAATCTTGCTAATCTAGAGCTTTGGTTCTAACAGCTAACCTTAGTCTGTTCAAGATGGGAAATCAGCTTGGAAACCCCTGAATGAAGCTAGACTTCCCAAAGGGATACATCCTTGGTGAAAAGGAGAACTAGGAGGAAAATAATTCTGACCCATAAGTGGAGATTTGTCTGTCGTGGAGGGAGAGTTTCTCCAAGAATTTATAACCATAAACCAGCCATCTTAGAGTGCTGGAGTCCAAATTCATACTACCTGTGTGGTGTGAAAACCCCAGTCCACAAATTTAAACTGGTCCTTTTGTTGGAAGTGTCCCCAGATGCCAGCAGAAACAAAATGGATATCATCTCCAGAATTACACACCTTAAACCTAAGAATTCCCACAGGGAACTCAGGAAGCGTATAGTTCCTGAACATGTGCTCATAACCAAAAATCACAAAATACATGAGAAACAAGGTATTATGAGCATAGTGAGCTGGAAATCAGATCTGAAGATATTATTCAGAATGCAATTCAGAGAGATGAAGAGATGGATAATGTGCAAAAGAGGCTAAGAAATACGTAAGATAGAGAGAATGCCTAACATACACCCCACTGGATATCTGAAAGATTTAGAGAGAATAGGGAAAGAAGGAAGGAGCAATAAACCTGATTTATGCAGCTACAGGTATATTCCTGGTGGGTTTGGGCTGAAGGGCATTGACAACTTAAAGATGAAAACTGGTGTGAAATGATGTAAAATTATTTGACTCAGTAGCAGAAAATCCATGCAGGTTTTTTTTTGGAAAGCATGGGTGTTTCTCCTTAGGCAACTGTGTGTGTGCTTATATGTGTACTCTGCCCTGTTTGCTGACAATACAAATTATAGGCAGGGTGGCCATATAATTTGTGGGGCCCAGTACAAATGAAAATGTGGGGCTCTTGTTAAAAATCTGTTAAAACTTTTAAGACGGTGAACGGTGGCAGTAGAGCATTAGACCAAGCACAGGCCCTCTGAGCGCGGAGCCCTGGGTGACAACAGCTGACTCGCCCCTGAAGCCAGCCCTGATGACTAGATGCCCTCTTTCAGCCCTTCCACCCCAGGGGACCAATGGAAGGATCAGGATGAAGAACCACCGCTTTCCATCACCGCGCCCCATCCCCCGCAACACAGACGGGGGTTGTTTCATGCTTTATTTGTCTTGAATTTGATTGTGAATACTCACAGTGATCCGTCTCTGCTTTTTCCCAGGAAGGAGATGGAGTTGCTGGAGCAGTCCGGCGCCCTGAAAGGCTCTCTGGGTGCCCAAGAGCAGCTCTCTCTCATCAGCGGCTGCTCTGACATGCAGAAAGCAGTAGAGGGCGCCATACACATTCAGGTGAGTCAACGATACTCCTCAGGCCCACGAGGACTCAAGAAGTGTCTCCCAACGTCTTTGGAAGAACAGGGAAGATAAAAGGCAGGGGAGGTGTGGGCATTTTGTACCTTCAAGGTCAGAATTATGTTTTACGTGATAGGAAACATCATCCTCAAAACATCTCTTATACAGGCTGTCATCAAACTACTGTGATAATGTATTTTAGAGGTGTTAGAATTTTGAGCAAAAATACATCTTTTGGACGACTAACACTATTTTATTTTGTTTTAACTTTCCATTAAATAAGAGATTGTATTCTTATTTTTGTATATAATTGCAAAAAAACTAAAGAAATCATAGAAAAGGAACCCTTTCATTTGTTGTAGCATTTGTGTTTAGTCTTTCAACAACTTAGCTTAAAAACAAAACAAAAAACAGAAAGAGAAACCCTCACAGGCACAGTTTCCCAGCTGAATGAGCCCAGCCCAAAGAGACAAAGCATTTACTCTAGGCCTCCAGGAGTGTTCCAGACAGAGCTTGGTGTCACCTCTGGGCTGTGACTAGCTTTGTTCTCATTTCAGTCCCCCTTCCCTCCTGAACTTAGGGAGCCTACAGACAGCCCTGTCCCAGTTAAGAACCTTGAGGTATAAAATTGTTTAAGCCAATTTACCTAAAACTAAAAGAATCATTATTCCTGGTTTCCTCCCTGATAGTTTGTATTCTGAGACTTGCACCTTTCCATTTTTTCAGTGTTGCATGTTTCACTTTGTCACTGTCATGATATTCTAGCTGAGAATTTGTGCATAAAACAAAAAGGCTGGATGTGCTTTATAGTCAGTTGCTACTCTGGGATTCAGGCAAATCTCGGAGATATAGGTTCTAGGTCTTTTTGGCTCTAAACTTTTCTGTAGTTCATTTAATGTATGTGTGTCAAAACAGAATGTAGGGAGAGGGATATTTTTCAATTCTCTCTCTCTTTCTAGCATATTCATCTGTCTTGATATAGTGAAGGTTGTATAAAATTGATATCAATCTTTATGCATTCCATTTCATTTTTGATGATTTCCAATTTTCCTAGATTCATACTTTGTACATTCCAGGTTCCAATTATTAATGAATGTTTGCAGCTTTTTTTTCTCATTTTGAGTCATGCCACATCAGCAGATGAAGGTCATAAAAGCTTGACTCTGTCCACATCTTTAAGGTTGACTCTACTTTGAGGAGGTAGCTCTTCCCCGGTCATATTTTGAGTGCCTTCTAACCTGAGGGGCTCATCTTCTGGCAGTATATTAGACAGTGTTCCCCGGCTATTCATAAGGTTTTCACTGGCTAATTCTTTTCAGAAGTAGACTGCCAGGTCCTTCTTCCTAGTCTGTCTTAGTTTGGAGGTGCAGCTGCAACCTGTCCGCCATGGGTGACCCTGATGGTATTTGAATACTGGTGGTATAGCTTTCAGCATCACAGCAACACCCAAGCCCTCAAAGTATGACAGACTGACAGACGTGTGGGGAACGTATCTTCTCTTTCAGTCCCTGGTAGAGCTTTGGTGAAGATACTGTAAAAGCTCTTGCTTCTGAAGAGCCCATAGCTTTCCATGCCATGGTCTCAGGTGGAAAAGCTTTTTCAGACAGGTTTAGTTTTTAAGGAAAGTATAGGGATTCTCAGACTGATCCTTGCCAGAAGAGGAAATAAGATTTAGAGTTTATTGCTCCTGATGGTGGTAAAGACAAGTGGGAATTTCCCACCATGGAGACGGTGGCTAAGAACACAGGTTTTAGAGCTAGACAGAGTTGGGGTTAGATCCTGACAGTTTGCACTCAGCAGCTCTGTGACTTTGGCCAGTTTTTTAATGTCTGAGCCCCATTTTCCTCATCTGAGAAATGAGGATGACCCATGGCATGGGGTGGCTGTGAGGATTACCTTCTATTTTTGTGTCCAAAGTGACCCTGATATAAGGCAAGGCTCCATTTTTCCCAGAGAAGATTCAAAAAGTAAAACCTCTTTTGGGTCAACTTGATAAATAATATTTAAGTGATATAAATGAAAAAACCTTATAACTTGTGAGTATGTAAAGTGTTTAAAGTACTTGACACAGAGAAAATGCTCAATAAAATGTAATTATTTTATAATGGGGACATTTGTATACAAATGACATGAGGCAAGATATGGTGTTCTAAAACTGCTGTTTAACTAAGGCTGTCATTTTATAGATTAAATGAACATGGCATTTAAGTGTGGAGCAGCATCTATTATGCAGAAAAACATGGAGCCAAGCTGTATAGGGAGGAGAAAATAGAGGATGATGTAAACTCTACTAGGTTTAACTCCTTCCCTACAGGAGATTATAGTCTGCAGAAATTGTTTGTACTTCCAGTACCACAGAGAGTAATGGGAGAGGGGAGTACTTCTGACCAGGAGGATTTAGGAAGGCTTACTGAAAATAGTGCAGAAGAAAGGCCTGGCAGTCTGCTTCAGCAAAGATTACAGCCGAGAAGATCCTATGGAGCAGTTCTGCTCTGTAACACATGGAGTCGCTATGAGTCTGAATCGACTTGATGGCTATGGGTTTGGTTTGGTCTTATTGAAGGTATGATTTGAGCTTGTCTTGGCTTTTTAACAAGTGGATTTGGGAGGGGAGACACAGGTGGGAGACAAGGATCAGTATCTCAGAAGTTGAACAGAGGATGGGAGGGGTGAAACCCCAAAAAACAAAATCTACCTAAAGATATACTATGTTTTTGTTAAATGGTACTAGCATTTCTAATAATCAAGGAATTTTAAAAATAAAATGTATATAAACTTTAAAGAATGTAAGTCTGGGTGGTGCAAAAGGTTAAGCACTTGGCTACTGACCAAAAGGCTGTTCAAATGCAAGAAGAGCCTCGGTAGAAAGGCTTGGTGATCTACTCCTGAAAAATCACCTGTTAAAAACCCTATGAGCACAGTTCTACTCTGACACACATGGGAACCATGAGTCGGAATCAATGGCAACTGGTTTGTTTTAATATTATAAAGAAAATTTAGGAAAATTCTGCTTAGATCCACTATTCCAAAGATATTTAATATTTTTGTGCATTTGTATTTCTTTCCAGTTCTGTGTATTCTTTCTTCCTTCCTTTGACATAATTGAAATTATACTGTAAATAAAATTTTGTGTCGTGGTTTTATTTAAATCTTAGAACATTTTTTGCTATGTCATTTCTAAATCTCAGGACTATATCAAATGGAAGAAGTATAATTATCGGACTTCTGTGAAAAATTGTTATGTTACATGTTTATTATTTGATCTCTAACCTGAAAGAACCTTCCATTTGAGAATGCTGTTAAAACTGAAGGTGCGAAGGCCCCTGACATTTGACAGGCGCTTCTACACACCAGGCACCAACAACCACTTCTTAATCCTTGCTTCCACATATTCTTTGCTAGCTGTGCCCTTCTATAAACTCCTTTTTTTTGATATTTATAAAAGAAAAAATTCTCATTGTAGAAAAATTAATCTAGGTTATTTGGAGACGTTTTTCTTATTTAAAAAAAAAAAAAAACATTTTCACTACTTTAGGGAATTGTTCAAAGGCAGGAGGTGAAGCTGTGGTGGATTAACAAACATACACACAAACAAAACCACATCAGCTTGCCACAATTCTTCAGCTAAAAACAAGTCAATTGTCGAATTTACAGAGCTCCAGAGGGTTACAGCTATAGAAATATGAGTGTAATTCTTGTGGTAAATGTGTCTTTTCCCCAAGCCCTCGAGCACAGGGACATGGGTCGGCTGAAATGTAGTAGCATGCAAGAAAGAAACCTGAATTTCAAGAACTTAGTGCAATTTTGAAATCAAATCTAGCCTGGCAAGAAAATCTCCTGTGCTGGAAAATAAATTTATTCTGAAAAGCTTGTGTAAAGCACTGAGTCTTAAAGAGCATTAAGGCTCATTAGTCACAATACAGAGACTATCCAGGCTCTGAAATTTAAGACTTGAGATCACAGTAGCTGCTGTTAGCCATGGGAATAGTTTATAGAATTAGGAAGTTTAAATGGCATTTCCTTACATAAAACCAAAGACGACAGCTGAAATCTGGAAGTAAAACTTATATTATCCACGTACATTATCAGAATTTGCATCTAAACTTTGCCTTTAGAAAATACTAATCATTTTGATCATGACTCATAAACACTGTCAGTAATTATAGTGAGCAGTGTTCATTAATACTGATACCATTTTTGAAATTTATATGTTTTCAAAAAGAACAGAAGCTTGTTGGACTCTTGGTTCACTGAGACTCAGAATAATCCTTTTTGTAGGAACAGAGGGAGTTGTTCATGGAGCATAGGGGAGGGCCGGCACTGAGAATTTGCAGGACTGTGCACTGGAACTTGAGTTTTGCTTTTCCTGTTCATGTCTTTTTTTTTTTTTTAATTTCATATATTTATTGAGATGTAATTTACATACAGTAAAATTCCCATTTTGATATAGAGTTCTTTTTTTATTAATATTGTATTGTGTTTAAGGTGAAAGTGTACACAGCAAATTTGGTTGCCATTTAACAATTTCTACACAAGTCATTCAGTGATATTGGTTACATTTTTCACAATGTGTCATTCTCATTCATGCTGTTCTGGTTGTACTATTTCCAGTACTCTAGTTTCCCTGCCACCTTACTTTCTCATCTTCACTTTAGAGTAATTTTTGACCATTTGCTCTCCTGTAGATGATTTTTCTTGAAGCAGCTCATTACTCATGGGTGATATTCTTTATTTTATGAGTCAATCTGTTATTTAGCTAAAAGGTGACCTCAAGGGATAATTTTGGTTTAAGGTTTAAGTCATATCTCAGGGCGATAGTCTTGGGGAGTCCTCTAGTCTCAATCAGTCCAGTTAGTCTGGATTTTTTAAGAACTTGAATTCTGTTCCACATTTCTCTTGCATTCTGAAGGATCCATCTGCTGTGGCCCTGATCACAATGGTTGGTAGTGGTAGCCAGGCACCATCTAGTTCTTCTGGTCTCTGGGTAGATGAGACTG